CTGGATGTAAAAATTAAATAAAAATTGTTTCATTATTTGTTACAACAAATACATATGTATGCACATATAGCAGCCATACCAATATGTGAGACATATTGGGAATTTATGGTGCGTTGTTTCGAAAAACGAATATATTGGAAATATTGCATTAGTTCTTTTAGGGTTAGATTATGTGTAGCATATTTTATCTTTGTAATTTTCCACGAAGGGTGTTTTTAGCAACTGTGCCGAAATGTAGAAGTCCCTACTGATGAAAACTTAAATTATGGCACAGTTTGTCCTTAATATTGGCATAATTTGGGATATAGTTTGAACAATTTGACCAAAATTTTCGAAAATTTCCAAAATTGCCATATACAGGGTGAAATAAAAAAATGCAAACGCCATAATTTTTTACATTCTTTTTTGAATTTTATTGAATTAAAGCAAAATATGTCGGAAATAGCATCGAATTTCGGAATAAGTTTAAGTTTGTTCGAATTGGTCACCTTTGGCACGAATTATGGCCTTTAAACGGCCAATGAAACAGCCACACGCTGCCCGAATGTTGTTCTGCGGTATTTTTGCCCACTTCCGGCAAAGCGCTTGCTTGAGGTGATCGACACTTTGGTACTTTTAGTGCCATCCTTGCTTTCCAAAATACTCCAGACACATTAGTCCAACGGATTGGTATCCAGATATTCTGCTGGTCATTGTGCGCTGGAAATGAAGCGAGGAACCTCATTGTGACCATTCTTGGGTGGCGCGTGCTCATTGCGATTGTGCTGAGATGCTATTGTATTTTGATGCTATTGATCGTATTAATACGAGCGAAGAGCGACCAGCGGCTGTTATGGCGGCCCACACCATCACCATGGCCGGCGCTTGAGTTCTGATGGCCAACCGAAGGTTTACATTTTCAGCTGACCTGTGTGGCAAGTAAACACGATTATGTATGCATTTTAAAGAATGCACCAAAAACTCAGATATAAGAATTGCTTAGTACTTATTTTTTTCGCATTTCGAAATCACTTCCTTACCTCATGGTTTGTACCAATAGTAATCTTTATACGAGATTTCAAAAATTTCAAGCTCTTATATATATTTAACCACAAATGAGAGTTTTTAGCACGTTTTTAATATAAGTTTCCAGATATATCATTTTTATGACGTATTCTAAAATTAGTATCCTACCTGCAAAACTCCAAGATCCACGTTTTAATAGTACAGAATGCAGACAACTAACAAATTTCAAAAAAAAAAAACTTCTATGATATCTAATGTCATTATTGACTTGCATCCGAAATTTGAAAGCTCTAGTGGTAAAAATTTCACAAACCCTGTCTTATCGCCTACCTGCATACCAACGGGTACCTGTATGTCGAATTAAAAAAATCTAGCCCTAGACGCTCAGTTCATGATAGTTGAGGAGGCATTGAATCTTATACATATATTTAGATGTTGGGATACATTAGTGACACAGGAAGACTTATCGGATAAGTCCTCACATAAGTTTACTCTCTCTCTAATGGCAGAGGTACTTTATTTCAGCCATTTTGAGGTCTCTGTGACTGATTCTACCTCCATGACGGTATTTTGGTCCTCCTCCTTGATTATAACTTCTAATTTCTACCAAATTATTTAGATCTACATATCTCTGAAATGACCTCTTAAACGTTCGACTTTCTATCTAAATATAAAGTAAAGTCTCTATTAGCATACCTATGTAATCGTGTAATCAAAAGCAGTCAGTTTCTTGAAACACACACACTCATCTACACCCAACACAAACAACAACAACAACAACTAAATCTAAGCAAAACAGAACAACATTATAAGAAGGATTAAAAAGGATTACCAATGATTAGGGGCCGCATCTATATAGGCCGAGTGTTGGAGCAGTAAAAATAAATCACAGGCTCATAATCACTCATTTATATACGAACACAGGCACACGCACATGCATACATACGCAGATACATACCAACAAATACAAAACTTGTAAACGAACAATTCAGTGATGATAACAAACAAACAGTCACAATTTGAACATATTGAAATTAGGAGAAAGTACTCAGAAAAAAAAAAATTACAAAAAAAAAAAAAACAACAAAAAATTCAATTGAAAACCATGTAGAAGAGGATAAGGCAGAAGAGGAATAAAGTGGAAAAACTATCCAAAGGAAAAACGCACGAAATAAAAACCTCCAATGCAAATGACAAATGATATTAAACAAAAACATAAACGCACAGAAGAAATAGTTATAGTCCCACTATTTGGAGAGAGAGATATGGTTGAATGAGTTACGAGAGATAAAAAAAAAGTTCTCTCAGAGGGATACGAATGAACTGGAAGAGCACATGATGAAAGTGCGTGAACATCTGGCGTATTATATTAAGGCGGGGGAGGAAATATTTGGTCAATGACAACTACAACAGCAACAAACAACAGCACACATATACACACTCTCTCGCCCAAAGGAAACCACCAAGAGTTTCGTGTTTTTGGTGTGTGTGTGTGTGTGTGTGTATGTGATACGGGAAAATACTAAACAAACAACTGATAGGACAATGCTTGACAAACAAAACAAGGCAAAAAGCTTTGTGTACAGAAATAATCTCCGAGAGACAGAGAGTGAGAGAGATAAATATTATCAAGAGAATATGCCATGGTTTTAGTACACATGTTTAGTAATAAAGCAATTGTCAAGAGAGAGCTGTATACCACCATATGTTTGAGGTTTACCCAACCAGGCAAAGTTATGCTGCCGAAGCCAAAGTTTCGGTGTGTCGGAGAGCATGAGAACCAGTGTACACTATTGTCGGAGAGCGACAGAGCACTGAGTAAAGCTGTTAGTATTTTCGAAAATGGCGTAGTTATAGTATTTCATATTAACTTCCAGTTAAGCGCCATCTGCAACTGTATTGTAGTCAGTGCCATTTGGGGCCATCAGCCAAGAAGCAGGGTAGTACGGTTAAATCCTGCGACGCGCAATCCTTACACATATACTTTTTTCTTTTTCTACTAACAAACTAACCAAGCAACCAACCAAAAACAACAAAAAACCATGGAATACCTACAAAAAAATATAGGAAAATCTTTTTCAACAATAATAAAATATTAATTACAAAAACATGTCTAAAGTTGAAAAATTATTGTGTTTGTTGCAATAAAAATTATCACACGCACGCACACACACACACACACAAAAGTAACGGAAAACCAAATGGAGTAATGAATACTTTTATATAACCGTCAAGAAGTGATATTTGTGTATTAAAAAAAGGTATCCGAAAAAAGTTTAGTGGTTGAACCGATAAAAAAATAGCAGCCAGTCAGCCAGCTGAAGAAAAAAAGTGCTCACTTTCAGAACCAAAGAAATAAAAAAATGGAAAAATATCGTATGCGCATATAACGGTCGGGGATGTGAGGAATATGGTTTTTCATTATTTTAAAGAATCGATTGAAAAAAAAAAAAAAAACAAAATTTAAATAAAAAAATAGAGTTTTTAAAAAAAAATTAATAGAATTTCATAAAACATATCCAACGGCGCAATGAGAGTGATTGAAAAAAAAAAACTAGTATACTTTTGGGGATTAAATCGTAATGGAAAAAAATTATTCAAATTTGAAAAATTCTACTGCAGACAACCGCCTGGCCCCCACCATTACACCCTGCCAAAGGGCATGTCATAATTTTTCCACACAGTGTGTTTTACTTGTGTAAAAAAGGCGAAAATCGCAGTGTAAGCTTTCAAATTGACTAAAAACCTGAAAATATGCTGCCTTTATGGTAGCTGTTATATAATTAAAGGTACGCTTTGAGGCCGTGGGAGATTGTCATAGAATAAATAAAAAATTAAGAATGATAAAGGAAAACGCAAAGATTATTTAATTAAGAAAAATATTTAGCTAAAAAATACGCTCAACTCAAAAACAAAAACTGAAGAGAAGCGGTTTTAATTTGTTAGCAAAAATTTATTAATTTTCCTTTCCTTTCGATTTTTTTCTTTCACAAAAATATCAACCAAAATTCATTCATTATTACATAAAAATATTCCTTCATCCTAACACAAAACAGTTCTTCCATCCTTTTCCATATTTTTCGTTATTCTCCTACTTTTTGCCTGCTGGAGCGCGTTTGTGTGTGCAGGCTGACTGGCTGGCTGACAGTCATGGTGGGGGAGGCATGCTGTCTTAGCATTTGGAAAAAAAGAATGTGTTTGTTTCCTTTTTCTTTAAACACATCTTCCATATACACATACCGTTACTCTGTCAAAAAGGGTCCTTTGGAGAACCGTTAGTTCTTTTTATTATTTCCTTTCAACCATCAACTTTTCATGATTTTTGTCTTCTTCGCTTCGTTTTTCTTTTTTTTTTCATTTCTTTTCCACCTATTCTTCGTTTGACAATTCGTATTCATCGGGCATCATCATTCGTCGACAATTCAGGCGATTCGTTACAGAACGATATTGTCGAATAGGCCAAAGAAAACAGCAGGTTAAGATAAACGAAACCAAAAAAAGATAAATTCTAAGAAAAAGGGAGGAATTTCGAAAACACAATACCAAATGGGTAACAGTTCAAACAAATGGCAACTCTGCTATTGGAAATAATATCTCAACTAAGTGATGGACTGTATCTCCCACGCTCTTATCGCACTCACAACAGATAACAAGACTCCCCCATTTGCGACAAGGAGTCAACACAGTGTGCAAGTAAATGAGAGTCAATCTCAAAAATATATCTAGAGAGAGAGAGTGAGAGAAAAAGAGCGTGTTTGAAAATAAATAGTGATAGTTTTTGTTCTGTGTGAACATTATCTCAGTATTCATAAACAACACACGGTGTAGCATAAATCCAGTGAACGCGAGAATGAGAGAGTAAAAAATGAGAAATTTTGTGACCCTGAGAGGCTCAATGTTCGAAAAGCAATGTTATATAAAGCAAACACCCAAAAACGTGCAAAGTGAAGTGTTAAAACCACAAAACATCTAAGTTTTTGGGGGAAAGCTTTTTTTCGTAGAAATTTGAAAATCGAAGCAAAAAACGAAAAAAAATAATTGGTTGCAAAAAGAAACAAGAAATGCCAATAATTTCAAAATTTAACTACAAATTCGAAATCAGTTGCCTGAAAAAGAAGTGTAATTCAATTAAATCACGACAAGAAATATTCAAACGATCTTGTGAATAGAACAAACAAAAGTTTTAAATTTACAAAAGAAAATGTACCTATTCTCTTTTTCTCTTCAAGGTTAACAAAAAACAACAGCAACAACAAGATATCACAGAAATTACAACAATACCAAGCCAAAAAAATGAAGAAATACAAATTGATTTGTTAATAAAACTAAACGTATAACAAAAAATATTAGCGAATAACAATAAAAGTTTTGAAACAAGTTATGGTCAAAAGCCCAAATCGAAATCGGAAAACCAACCACCTATAAATACATTAAAATAAAAAATATATATTATACATATGTATGGAATCTAGCGCCTTTGAGTTAAATAATGTTATGGTTTTACCCAGTTCGTTATCGTTAAACATTTTCGTAATTGTCGGGTTCGTTGTCAAACGTTGTCGTGTTCGAAGAAAGTAAAACAACCAGCGAAAAACGTATTCAAATTTTGGCCTGATTTGTGTCTATTCGGTCCAAAATTCCTTGGTGTCTATGTTCAACATTTGTTTTTTTGTTCTTTCGGTTTTAGAAACACCAACCTGCCACCGCAGCAGCCACGACCTCAACTGCACCAGTGTCTATCCCGCCATCCATCATTATCATTAATTTGGAATTTTAACACTGTGTTTTTGCTTTTGCCATAAAAAAAAAAAAAAACAAAACAAAAAATAATTCAAATATATTACAAAAAATTTCTATTTGGCATTTAAAAAATTTCTGCAATTTTGTTCGAAATTTGGTTACGCAAAAGATTCTTTTGAAACAATAATGTTATAAAACTAAACCTACAACTAAATCATTGGATTATCACAAGCCTTTGGATTATAAATGGATTACAAACGATAATATAGAATTGTAAGTGTTTCGAGATTAGTTGCATTGTTATTTTTTTGTTATTTTGGAAAAGAGTTAAAGATTTCTTTGAATTAATGAATCTATTCTGTGCCGCCCAATTCCTTGGAAAATCGAAATAATATATAACCTAAGGATCACAAATGAGAGCTTCATATCAAATTTATAATGGCTGACATATATGGTTAAAACTTATTTTAGGTATTTTGAGGGGTTACAATTAAAGATGACATAAATGAAATGTAAGAGAGCCTAACCGCAGAAACATTTCATTACCAAGTTTTGAAGGTCCAATAAAATTGTCAATGAATTGAGATTCTCACATAGTTCTGGGTTAGTCACATTGGCAATACTGTTCGGTTTAACGTTTGCGAATCTCAGCTGTATTTACCAGCCATATTGACTATGATTTACATCTATTATTATAGGTATAGTCTGTTTCGACTTGGAACATATAGCGGTGCAAGCCAACGAGAACTATTTTAAAATTTCCAAAATTGAAACAAATTTGGAGTAAGTGTAATACTGGAGTCACACTAGGTAGGAAGATGTCATGTTTCAGTATTGGAAGCTTTTGGAATGCACAGAAGGAATTCCAACCACATTTTCTAACGGAATGTCATTTTGAGCTTTTTCATAAACATCTCACTTATTTACTTATCTCAGGAAAATTGGTTTAAGTTATTGACTGAAATTTTACTTCCGAATTAAAAATATAATTACATAAATTGTAATTTAATTATATAGACAATTAGTGCCAAACTTCTGTGCAAGATAAATAAGGATTTGAAAGCCGGGCGATACTTTTAATACCCTCCACCATTTTGATGGGACTCCAAAAATTGAAAAAAATAGTAATAATGATAATAGTAATAATAATAATAATAATAATAATAATAATAATAATAATAATAATAATAATAATAATAACAATAATAATAATAATAATAATAATAATAATATAATAATAATAATAATAATAATAATAATAATAATAATAATAATATAATAATAATAACAATAATAATAATAATAATATAATAATAATAATAATAATAATAATAATAATATATAACAATAATAACAATAATAATAATAATAATAATAATAATAATAATAATAATAATAATAATAATATAATAATAATAATAATAATAATAATAGCAATAATAATAATAACAATAATAATAATAATAATATAAAATAATAATAATAATAATAATAATAATAATAATAATATAATAATAATATAATAATAATAATAATAATAATAATAATATAATAATAATAATAATAATATAATAATAATAATAATAATAATAATAACAATAATAATAATAATAATAATATAATAATTAATAATAATAATAATAATAATAATACTAATAATAATAATATAATAATAATAATATAATAATAATAATAATAATCCTAATAATAATAATATAATAATAATAATAATAATAATAATACTAATACTAATCATATAATATAATAATAATAATAATACTAATAATAATAATAATATACTAATAAATAATAATATAATACTCATAATAATAATAATAATAATAATAATACAATAATAATAATAATAATAATAATAATAATAATAATAATAATAATAATAATAATAATACTAATAATAATAATATAATAATAATAATAATAATACTAATAATAATAATAATAATAATAATAATAATAATAATAATAATAATAATAACATATAATATAATAATACTAATAATATAACAATAATAATAATAATACAATAATAATAATATAATAATAATAATAATAATAATAATAATAATACTCAATAATAATAATAATAATAATAATAATAAATAATCAAATAATAATAATAATAATATACTAATAATAATAATACTAATATAATAATAATAATAATTAATAATAATACTAATAATAATAATAATAATAATAATAAGAATAATACTAATAATAATAATAATAATAATAATATAATAATAATAATAACACTAATAACTCAATAATAATAATCATAATATAATAATAATAATAATAATAATAATAATAATAATAATAATAATAATATATAATCAATAATAATATTAATAATAATAATAATAATAATAATAATAATAATAATAATAATACTAATAATAATAATAATAATAATAATAATAATAATAATAATAATAATAATAATAATAATAATAATAATAATAATAATAATAATAATAATAATAATAATCATAATAATAATAATAATAATAATATTAATAATAATAATACTAATAATAATAATAATAATAATAATTCGGACTTGGATTGCCCATTTGGTGCAAAATTAATTTTAAATCAGATAAATATATATATGGGAGCTATATCCAAATCTGAACCAATCTCGATAAAATTTAGCAAAGGTGTTTCTGAGCTGCATTTGATATATGTCCCCATATATTGTTGTTACAGAGTGCATATTACGGCTGCGGAGGACAAAAATAACAAATCGGATGACCAATATATATGGGAACTATAGCTATATCTGAACCGATTTCGATCAAATTGGGCATAGTTATTTTCAAGCCTAATTTGGTTGTATGTGCAAAATTCCATACTATTAGAGCTGATATTATATGTTTGGTGCACAATAAAAGGCAAATCGGACGAAGATATATATGGGAGCCAAACAAATGTTGTTTGGAAAATTTCATCTCAATCGGATAATAAATGCGACCTGCATTTTGTTCACAAGAATACATGGACAGACGGACGGACGGACGGACAGACGGACTGACATACATAAATCTACTCAGAAAGTGATTCTATGCAGATCATCAAAAGGAACTATGGGTCTATCTCGTTTCCGACATACCGACAAATTGGGGTAACGTTATATGGGGGCTATACAATATCGTGGACCTATATAGACAATTCTCTTTCACGGAGTAAAATATCCACAAGGAATCCCTTGTGTGGAATTTCAGACAATTCCGAAAAAATATGGGGCCAAAATCATCAAAATACCGAATATCGGTGGGTTACTTTACTATTCAATATCGTGGACCTATATAGACAATTCTATTTCAGGGGGTAAAGTACTCACAAATATATCCTTGTGTAGAATTTTAACCAATTCCGTTGAAAAGTATGGCTAACATCATCAAAATAACGAGTATCAAGGGTATGGAGGCTATACAATTTCGTGGCCGTATATAGACAATTCCCTTTCAGGGGATAAAGAATCAACAAGGAACTCCTAGTGTCGATTTTTATACATTTCCATTGGATAATGTGGCTAAATGTATCAAAAAACCGAATACCGGTGGTACGGTTATATGGGGGCTATACGATATCGTGGACCGGTATAGCCCATCTTCGAACTTGACCTGCCTGCAGACAAAAGACAGATCTGTGCAACATTTTAGCTTCCTATCCTAATTCGTTTTGACTGTAGCATGATTACAACAGACAGACCGACAAACGGACGGACAGGCTTAAATCGTTTTAGAATTTTGCGCTGATCAAGAATATGTATGTATACTTTGTTGGGTCTAAAATTATTATTTCAATGAGTTACAAACGCAATGACGAACCTAATATACCCGCTATACTATGTATGGTGGAGGGTATAAAAACATGGAAAAATACGTTTCAAATGATGCCCCTTATATGGGGGCTATACAAAGACGTGCTCCCTTATAACAATGCCGATAAAATTATCAAACTAGCCAATTTTGGGAGGTATCGTGATATGGGTGCTATACGAATTCGTGGTCCTGCATAGGCAATTTTCTATTTTAGGCTGTAGTACCTATTCGAACTTAAAACATTTGACAACAACTCCGGTACAAATATTGCTAAAATAATCAATATACCGAATATTGAGAGGTACTTTGATATGGGTTCTATACGAACATGTGGACCGACATGACCCATTTACACCCTAGTGGCAAACTACATGTGTGTGCAACATTTTGGCCTCCTATATCAATTCGTTCGAAATGTAGCGTGATCTCTAAATCGCCTTAGAATTATATGTACTTCGTTGGGTTTGACATTTGTATTTCGAGGAGTTACAAACGGATTGAAAAAGTTAATATACCTTCTATAGTATGATCGAGGGTATAAAAAGTTATTATAATTTATAATTATAATAAAAAAAAACAATATAAAAGAATATTTTGACTTACGTTATGATTAAGCAAACTGTTGACGCTTTATGGGGAGTTTTCGAGGGAGTGGGACAATATTGCTATTTCCTTCACTTATGACACCGATAAAAATATCGGAATGTGCGAAATTAATGAAAATCGAACATTTATTTCCAGTTATATGTGAATTGTTGACAATTATTCAATTATATATCAATGTTTTTACCTTTGGTGTGGAAAGCTTCAGAAGTAACATTTGATCTGTGGTTGAGAGAAATATTTATATGTACCAAGTTCGAAAAGAATCGCTTATAAAATCATGTGTTAGTAGGAACATTGAAATGTGTGAAGCTTGGAAAGGATCGAATGCTGGTTATTATTGGTTTTTTGAAAATATTAACTTCAAGTAGGAGTGGAGCGTTATATTCCATCATAACATCAGATCTTGTGCTGACATTGGAGATATTGGAATTTGTGAATGTTGAAGAGAAGCGGATGCTTATTTCGCATTTTATGACAATTATAATTATTCAAAATTACCCTCGTTTTGGATGTCCATTCTAATCGTTTTTTATACCTGATATTGTGTTCCTTATTTCTTAGTTTATAATGGCTAAAATAACTTTTTTGGGAGAGGATCTTGATATTGGGCTGATCTAAAACAAATATAAGTTTTAGAATTCGCGAAGTTTGAATGAATGGTCATTTCTAGTTCTATAAGGTAAATTATTTTCGGTTAACATTTTGACCTCTTCTGGGGGAAGTAACAGAAGATGAGAACCCATATTGCCTATCTTCAAATTCCATCTAAGTTTCGATATTAATATTACTATATGCCCAGTTTAGATTAAATCAGAT